CAAAATACCGGATGTTCGAAAAAGTCTGACAAGGTTTCGTATCAGCTGCCACAACCTCTACATCGAAAGGGGCAGATACGAAACCCCCCTTGTACCAAGAGAAGAACGTTGGTGCACCTACTGCTTTTTCAGCAAAGGGCTCAAGCCTATTGAGGACGAAAGTCACGTATTGATTGACTGTTTGCTCTACTCCTCAGTTAGGGAAAAATTCAATTTCCATCCCCTAAACATTACTGACCTAGTCGGTTTGCTCTCCAACAAAACTCTAGATCCTACCACACTCACTGCCACAGCAAGAGCAATCCATTCAATTCTCTCTGTGAACGAAAATTATACAGCCTACTATAATAGCCCAGATTTCCACTCAAATACTGGCAAGTGCATAATGCTATAGGACCTTAAAATAAGATTGAACCATACAAACTCGATTTATCTATTTTTCTAAAACTAGCATTATACAACATTTCTAAATTATCCCTACACATTTGTAAATAATTAGAATTGTGTAACTTAAATTATTTCAGAATTACAACTATTGTGTACTCAATAAAGTAATTATCACTTTTGTATCCTTGTATCCTTGTATCCTTGTATCCTTGTATCCTTGTATCCTTGTATCCTTGTATCCTTGTATCCTTGTATCCTATACAGGTGTTATTTAACCGGTTTTCAGGACATCAGGAAATATATATATATATAATTGAAGTCATTCGATAATACAGCTGCAATTTCATGAGATGACTTTTTTACTGCGCTTATGGGAATGTCACTAGCATTTTCAAACTCGCTTATAATTTTTTTTTCGATGACAGTAGCCCAATTCCCACGACAGGCAGGTGTAGACCACAAATGTGCACAATACTCCAAGTGGGTCTTATTATAGTTTTATAAACATTTCTCATAACATTAATTTCTCTTATAATGAGATTCCTTGTAACCCATGCAATCATACTGTTTGCTTTACTAATACAACTTTTAATTTGTTGAGACCATTTCAAATCGGAAGAAGTTAAAACTCCAAGATCTTTCTCTGCTTCAATACATTCAAGTGTAACACCACTAAAAACATAATCTTTAAGGGGATTTTCATCGAATGGAACATGCATTACTTTATATTACATTTGCTAGGATTAAACTTTAACAGCCACATATTTTGTCAGTTTTGCAAGCTTTCTAACATATTTAAAGTGCTTTCAATGTCATTGGCATCCATAATAACTTTAAGATCATCTGCAATGATGAAACAAAATTAGAACATATTATACAATTTTGTCCAATAAAGCTTTCGACTAGCGGGTTTCTAGTAATATTTGCACATATATATATGCAGAATAAACTCATAACTAGAGACTTGACTAAGCTTCACTTCATAAGTTGAAATAAAAAACTTTGCCTTACAGAACATATGCAAGGAAAATTACCACGATCGCAAGCCCAGACAAAATAATGACAGGTAGAAACCCTTTCAGTACAGCTTCCCTGACAAATACGATCCTTGTGGAGTAGGCAGTCCAAAGAAGTAGCAGAAGGATCTAGGTTCGGAGTTAAGGGACCCATAGATCACCCGAAGCAACAGCTACTATAACCTGGAAATGGATCAAATAAAATTGCATGGCCATTAATCTGAAATGAAGGTCAAACCTTGATTACGTAATATTAGTATATAGGGGGATTCGGTCTTGATTACGGTTAATTAGGGAGGGGGTCAAAATTGCCAAAATATTGATTACGTAATATGTGAACGCTCAGCACTCAGAAGCGAAGGTATTATTGTATTATATGTGAAGGACCGAATTTTTCAAAAAATGGTTCAAAAATTCAATAGGAACCATTTTTGCTTAATGCTTGTGTTTGGTGTTCAGGTTTTTAAAATTTTGAAAATAATGTTCCGTTTAATTTTAGATATTTTTAAGATATTAATTGTTAATATGGAAAGTTTTGTCTCGCTTAGCTGATTCGACTCCGCATGTACACTTTATTTTTAATTTTAAACTTGACGAAATTGTAGGTTTATATAATAACCTACCAAGACACGCGCCGAGTTGGACTCGTCGACGGTCTAGGTTTTGACCATTGTTAATAGTTTGGCCCGGCGCGCGCTACTTCGTAGCTGGTAGCACTTGCCATTTCGAGAGAAAAGCGGCGCGCTCTACTTCGAAGAAATTTATGATTTAGACGAGTAATATCCGCGCCGTCAATCTTAAATCTAGGTCTTGATATAGATATTTGAAACAAATATTTTTCGAGTATCACCCGTTAATAGTAATATCACCCGTTAATAGTAATATAATAGTACAGTACAGAGCTAAATGATAAAAAGAATATATATATATATATTGACTATCATATTGTATATCCATATTATTTAGGTACCTCAGGCTTTTGAGTTTTTTCTTTTGTGTTCATAAACACCAAAGGGCCCATTTACTTATAGGACGTCCGTCAAATAGGGAGCCCCGCCCTCCCCCTTTCTGGATTTGTCCGAAATTTCAAAGCCACCCCCTCCCGGGAGAATTATCGAAAAGTCCCATTTATTTCAACTCTTTGAATTTTATTAAAGTTGGTTATCAAATTGAAATTTGAGTTGGTTTTATTTGTACTTTTAAGAATAACTGCAAACTTGAAATCCGGGTGAGGTTTTGAAAATTCGGACACACCCGGACAGATCTGCGATTTCGGCGACGTCCTTACTTGATTCACGATGTCAATCCTTCGCAGCTCGGTGAGGCATGCACAGTGGTGCATCTCGCCGATCTACCGCGAGATCTATGCGAGAAGCATTATTTGATGCGCGCGCGACCCAGTAGTGCATCGCGCTACAACGTCCTTACTGTCACCAAGATGTAAATCAGATCGAACGAGAAATTAGATCGAACGAGAAATTAGATCGAACGGCGTCTCAATTCGATCTGATTTACATCTTGGTGACAGTAAGTATATTTATATAGTATTTAGATGGCCCCAAATTGATTTGATTGGAGATATGGTAGAATGACACTGACATGCTGAGCGCCGCCCAGAAAATGGGAGACTGATATAAGATACATTTTTTGGGGCATGGACAATGGAAGACTCTCGCTAGACATCCAATAATTGAGTATATTGCAATACGCAGTGAAATTTTCAGATCGATACAAGTACAACCGAAGGTGCGATAGTTACAACCAGTGCAGGGTTCGTACTCAAATTCTAAAACGTTTTCCTGGTATTCCACGCTTAGCATGGCTTGTTCGCTAATTGTAGTTCTGGCGCCAAGCCCTCTCATTGGCTGGATGATCAACCAATTGAGGGGGCATACACCAAACCTTGACTTACTCGACTTAGGGCGGCTTCAACGTCCGAACAGAGATAGTTTTTTCCAAATATGTCTATCCAGCATGAGTTTGTTAATCTCCTTGCTGTCGTTGTTGTTGTTGTATGATAAATGCAACTACATTACTGCAGTTGCCCTGTCTGGACTGCGCTAGTAGTCGGGGACTAACTAGGTAAGAGTCACAGCATACAGGTCCCGGTATCCATTGCAGGAAAGTGATCATGTCAAGGGTTGGTTGCACCAGCGCTTGTGTGAGACGGGGAGCAGAGCTCACTCCGAAACAGGGACTGACATAGTTGTTATCCTCCACAAGACACTAAACCTCACATTCTTCAATGGAAATGCAGGAATTTATATCGCGTAGGGGTTTCGTTAGCCCCAGGCATCCTCCATCACCAATCACCATACCACACAGAATTGCGAGCCCAGAGCACACTATTTAAACCCGAGGGTACGCGTGCGATTGTGCGATACAGCTAAGAGAGATACCCTAGGACATCCTTGACCGCCCAGACTGGCACCCCTAATGGCCAACAACATTGCAGTGCGGCTGTAGCCCATACAGCATTGAATCTACTGCAGGGCTGTAATAAAAAGCACACAAAGCTTCAATTTACCCCTGTTAGCAACGTCACATCTATGGTAGATGACTTGCTGTCGTCAAACCCCGTGTTACTGGGCGGCGCTCAGCCTGTCATTCCGCCGAATCTTTATTATGAAGATAATAGCCTGGGGTTATGTTAGGTCCCCAGGTAAACCCAGTGTCCTTCCGAAGGATGTCAATATATGTGAGGTGTGGTCTTCCCCTTCGACGATGTCCTTGAAGGGGTTCCCAGAAGAGAAGTTGATGACTCAGAAGTTCTTCATGTCTGACCAAACCTGTCCAACCCAAATTACCTCATAGGCAGTTCAGTAACCATCTAGCGCACCGTTTCCACATTTAAAAAAATTATTTTGAGAATACCCATTTTTGTAATAGAGCATTTCCTGATAAGGGTAACATTTTCGGAAAAACACAATTTGTTTTATGGAGAGGCTATAAGTTAATCATTTCTTGCGGTATCGGGTTGAAGTTTTGCTCGCCGTCTAGTACACTATTCACATCTATTTCAAGGTGTGTGTAAAATCTTGATATCGTATCTAAAAAGACTGGTGTGTTAACCACTGTTTTGGTGTATGCCCCCTTAAGCCGTAGTACATACAATTACATATTGCAATATGTACTATGGCTTTAGGAGTAAGTATATAATAGACTTCAGTATCATTGGGGGGGGGGGGGGGCCATGACTACCAATGGAGACTTTTGGGGACTAATGGGGACTAAAAATCATGGGGACTAGAGGTCAACTCGTTGACGTAATTCACCATTTGTCCCCATAAGTCCCCAGAATTTTTGACAGTTATTTATGGTTTTCAAGTTAGTTTAATAACGATACGATCGAGATGTTTTGTCCAAGATAAGAGTAGGATAAATCTAAATGGAGACTAATGGAGACTTTTGGGGACTAAAAATCATCTAAATGGGGACTAATGGAGACTTTTGGGGACTAATGCAATGGGGACTAAAAATCATGGGGACTCGGGGTAAAATCGTTGACGTAATTCCCCAAGTCCCCAAAAGTAGTCATTGGCCCCCCCCCCCCCCCCGTCTCATTACGTTATTTATTTTTCAGAAGAAAACGCTGAATTAGAGTTAATGAATGTTAAAATTAATAAATTACGATAAAATATAGCTTAATTAAAGTAAAAAACCGTGTAGAAGTATTATTCATGATGTATATACTCGAATTGAGCGTCAGAATATTTCAGAAGGTTGAATTCATCATAACCAGACGCCTGAAAGGGCTATATGTTTAGTGCTTACTGCTTACAGACTACAGAGCAATCCGTTTAGTGGCATTTAAACTCTTTAGTGGCATTTAAACTCTAGACAATCCCAGCCGATGGTTTGCAGACATTAACCTCACTAAACGTGCCCACAGTGGCCCGTGGGTAAAAAAGCTTTTAAAAAATGGGTATCAAACCCGGCAGAGGAATTGCGCAGACCTCCCAGAAGTTAAATGTTCCGATTTGTTAAAATGTTCTGACCTCATACAATTTAAAGTTTCAACAGTAAATATTTGGCAATTCTTTGATCCCTTTCACGCATTCTTTATATTTGTCTTTGTATTCTTCGCCTTTCTGTATGAGTAACACCGAACATGGTCTGAAAAATCAAATCGTAAAATACAACACCAGCATTAAATTTAATAAGCCAGTCGATGTTTAGGCTGAAACAAGGGTTAAAATGTAAATATTTTATCATTTTTAAGGATGTGACCTTTGAAGGATGTTGACAAAGGACGTTGTTGGGCACGGCTTCTCAATAGTTCAAATGATCTAGAGGCAAGAAAGTTGTCCCTAGCAGCGAAATACATCAATATCGAAAAATATATTTCATTTAAAGAAAAAAGAATGAAGTAGTAGCAGTACATTCTGATACTTAACTAGCTTACGTAACTACCTTAACTTAACAAGAGTAATAAGAAAACTAACGTGTTTGAGCCAATAGCAGCACCGAGATCAGCTCTGGCGGGAACATAAACATAGGGCACTTTACTTTCCTCACACAGCACTGGGAAATGGGATATCACATCTGAAATGTTTAATTGTTACCGCTGAGGGACAAACAGGTTGACTTTTCTACTTCAAATATTGTCAATCTCAAAAATATATTACAAATATATTGTATAAAATAAGGGAGAAATTAATAAAAGAGGCGCCAGTACCAAGAGATTAAACCTTTCCGTTATCCAGGTCCTTGGTAAATCAGGAGAAATAAAGGATAAAGGAAAAGAAGAAGAAAAATGTCTAAGTGGACATCATCAGCAAATGACTTGGCTATCGGTTTCTGTACCGATATTAAATTGCCAAGCCCCCCTAGCAATCACTCTTGCTGAGCTTATTAGTTTCAACTTATCTAAGTTTTGTTTAAGCTTTGGTACAACATTCGATAACGTACCCGACCAAGGTGAGATGAAGGTGTTAAAATAAGATAAGAGCGAATGGTTTATTTCCCGTAAACTGTTTGTTTCTTTTTCTATTTAGCTGAAGTATAACTGCGCTTACTACTTTACTAATTAAAGGAGACGGCGGTCATGTTTATTTCCTGTCTAAATGCCCATGCGACCAGAAGTTGAGGAATAAATGGACATGCCCCCCCCCCCCCCCCTTCAAACCACTGATTAAATCATCAGGTCATCCATTATCAACCCACTAACCAGTGGCCGCGTGAAATATCTTTTAGCATGCATTATGTTAAGTTATATAACTTAAATGCGGTCCGTTTGAATGTTGTGTGGCAACGCAAGGTGAACCACATTGACTCTCTCGGCAGATCAATCAAATATTATTTCTTTTTGGCAGAATTAATATTTCTTTATAGTTTCTATAATCCATATCGTTCAAACTTTCAGTGAGCTTAAACAACATCTCAAAGCTGGACTATCTTAATGCCCAAAATATGACTATCTTAGCCAGGAATCAAGCCAGAAATACTGGCTTGATTCTTTTCTACAAGAGGGCCTATACTATCCTTGTAAAAAAATAGTATATTTTTCAAAGTGTGCCTTATACATTTCAAAGTTGCTCATCAGTGCACAATATTTCCGGAATATGTAGCTCAAATTATCACCTTAATGAAGATGTCACGGAACATGGGATTATCAACCAGTCAGATGGGATCAACATGCACAGGGCCCCTTTGTAGACACATTACTAAAATTAATGCATATGAGACTAGTTGTCTCCAACGACAACACAGTGTTTGGGAGTGATTCATTATAGCTGCACAGCATCATGTTTACAGTTACCCTGCTATTGTTTGTGCTCACACCTGATCTTGTGTTTGGAAGTGAGGTTGTTATTGTTCCCCTAGTGGAAAGTGGTCAATGTAACACTGAGATTGTGGCGGATGAGGGCGACATACTGGTCAGCGAGACGGTACGTGTTATCAGTTATATTCTTGTCAGTATTGGGATTTATAGGTACTTTAAAATTGACATGGCAGTAGATGTAATGCGTCCTACTCATTAATGGCAAGTTGAACTGCTTCAGGTAAAGCGAGAATTTGGCAAGATGGAATTCTCACTATTTTGCCCGCAACGATATCTCCCTAAAACGTGCCACATTTGCGGTTTTGGTACGAAATTGAAGGGTTTAAAGCTGTTTGTGGCCAAGACCTCGGAGGAAAATGAGGAATTAATAGCAGGATGCAGTACTCGGATAGTGAACATAAACGACAACCCTCTTAAAGAGCTCCCAATGACAGTTGTGTGTTCTCCGAGAGCGATACCAGATCCCTGCAACCTGGTGAAGTCAAACTCAATACAAGCTCACCATGTTCACTTCATGCGGAGTAGGACAGCTACTGTACAGTGTAACCCGGGTTTTGTTATGCAGTCCTGTGCACTTTCTATCATTGCTCCTACTATGGATTGGATACAGATGGAGCTAAATGATGATACAGGTTAGTAAGGACTAGTTTATCAGATTCTACTTATTTATACACCCTACCTACAAACACAAATGTCCCTGTACCAGGTACCTGTCCAAAATAGAGATAAGAAGTAGTATACATGGTATAGGATGTGAAATGTACAATCTTTGCTATTCGAATTTTGTCATTCGAATTTTAAAAATATAACACTGCAGCTCGAAACTCTACGCTCGAAACTCTAATGAATGATCAACGATTCTTCAAGTTGTTTACTCTCTTATTAATATTGCGACTTTCTCGAAACTCGCTATTGTATGGTTTTATACAGGATTCATGAAATGATTTCCCCAACAGGACTGCTACCAATTGTAAACAACAGTTGCTCGATAAAGGATTGTGTCTACGAAGGAGCAAACGCTCGGGGAGTACCTCATGACTGCGCTATTCAAGCGGTTTGTCTCCCAGACAAAGACAACCCCACAGCTATGTGCACTGCGTGTGATGAGGCGCAGTGCGCGGCTCAGAACCTCACGTGTGGCAGAGTGCCAGTTAAACAGAACGGTCACGTGCTAATGTGCGTAAACGAGACAACTATTTGCAACCCAGACTCTTTATTTGGGTATAACTGTGCGTTCTGTTTGAGAGGCATACCAGTGTATTGTACGGATAAAGACGAGTGCAAAGAGAATCCTGGTATGTGTGGGGACGGCGAGTGCACGAACACAGACGGAGGGTACCAGTGCGAGTGCAAAGAAGGACCGTGTCAGAGTGAGGGGTGCACTGATGCTTTGTGTGGCAACAACAGTTGTTATCAGCAGACTAACGACACGGTCACGCACACTGTATGTGGGGAGGAGAGTGCACTTATTGTAGTAAAGGAGGTAGGGGACATGGCAGTGCTGGAGTGTACTGGTCTGCTTTACATGAAAATAGACGCTTGGTTTGTAGGGGAAAAGAAGCTAAGACAAGCAACGGCTACCACTAGGACACATGTAATAAACAGAAAAAAGCTCAAAGAGGAAACCATGGTGACCTGTCAGCTACGATCAAGATGGTTTGGAAAGATCGTAAGACATTCTGTTCTTGTTCAACCGATAATTAAAAGGGATAAGGAATCAAAAAATAAGAAAAAGTCGGATACTGGCAAGAAGAAAAAGAAATCGGATAATAGAAAGAAAAAGAATAAAGAAAGCAAAGGAAAGTCAAAGGGTAAGAATTCGAAGAAATCGAAGAAAGGAAAAGATTAGTTGGAGTACAGTATGAAGAGGCGGACCTTCTGTTCTTTAGAGATATAAACCTATATTGTTATTGAGTGCAATCCGGGACTTTCAAATACTTATTTCTTCAACCACTTCAATGATTACAATTTAAAGCGAAAGACATTTTCCAAACAACTTGATGAACAAGTAGATTGTAGAGGTTGTTTTTCTAAGAATTTTAGAGGTATTTCAGACGGGACTGAAATCTGTGTTCAATTATAACGGTGTTAGGTGGTAAATTTAATGTTTTTAGGTGGCCCAAACCTTGGAGTGTCACGATAAAGTTATTCAGAGTTTTTTGTCTTCTCGCTATCTTTGTTCTTTCAAATAAGAAAAACAATAAGAGACAAAAGCTCAAGTCCCCCCCCCCCGCCCACTTACGTCGTGTAACTAAATAATTGGAGTTCAGCAGCTTTACACTCACAATATTTACTTAAATTTAGGTTATACAAATATGCTTAAATTTGTTCGGATGTTCCACTTTAGCTAATGCGTTTCGTGCGAGCTGGTTTAGATTGTAATATTATTAGTTACTCCAGTCTTCAAAGATTCGGCATTTTCCTACTTTTAAGATTTTAGGTGCTCTACTTGTAGCTAGTTGTGCCCTGAACTCGTTTATGAATTTTCATCAAGATTAGACAAAAAATGACTGAGTTATGAGCCAAAAAACCATATGCCCATATTTGGACATATGCACCGAATTTGATCGATTTTGGCCCATAAATTGGTCAAATATCAATATTTTTAACTGAAACCATACCATATGAACACTTCCATACAGATTAAGCTATCAAAGAACACAGTACACACTAATATTTAATCAAATATCTACTGGTCCGTTACCTAATAATGTTTACCATTTCTCCCTTAAATCATTGTTCTCCCTTAAATCATGGTTTTAAGCATGATTCATGCTGCATGATACAATAAATGAGGAGAAAAATGAAAATTAACATAATTGCCCTATAGAAGGGTCCTGATCCTGATCCTACTGCGATACTGTCAACATATTTATACTGAGAAACATCTTATCTCTGTTTATGCTTTAGAACTGCATAGAAAATTAAATAGTTAAAACCGCCATATCTAACAGGATGATTATACACTAACCTATGGGTGAGATGTCTCCAGCGATGATAACGAACCCTTTTTCTCCCTTCCTCAGCGACTTTCCAACTTCCTTGGTCCCCCTCCTTATTGACTTTGCCTGAAAATTGATTCCTGTTATTAGTTAATGGTATATACAGTAGTTAATGCCGAGAATTCATTTCTGTAATTTATATAGCAGACGAATGGTTAGATTGTTTGCGTTTTGGAGAAATTCGAGAGATGTTTTGATTTATTACCATAAGCTTACTAAAATACGGTATAACTTTAAATCATGAAACCTATAACAGTACGCAAACAATCTAACCATTCGTCAACTCACCTTGCTAGCGATTTTACAGCATTTGTACAACTTCTTGCTGAGCTTTCTAGTGGCAAGCGGCTTCGCAATGGGGATGGTTAAAGCACATTTTGCTTCATAACTTATTTCCATCTTGTCTACAGAAGTGGTTTCGGTCGCAGCCTGCTCTTCGATTATTGATACCATACCTTAAATATGTTAAATATAATACGATGTTATTTGAATAATTAATTAGTTTCTAATGGATTAAATAAGAGCTTTAAAATTTACATGGAATGTAAAACGATGTAGATCAAAAATGCACATTTGAGAGAAAGGAATCTTTACTCGTTGATTTGATTGGGACTAAAAGCCCGAAAACGAATAACACAGCTAACTCATCAAATGGCTAAGTTAACTTTTTTAGTAATGAAACAAACTGAATTAAGACAAACTTTAATTTTACAAGTCAATCGATACATATTGGACTATCATAAGTATTCATATTTAATTGCAATAAATTAACTTAGGTATAATTCTCATTTTGCTTCCAATTTTTTTCTAATTCTTTCTCCCAAATATTCTGACAACTTTACTTCACAATTCTGCATCACATATCATACTGAATTCACAAATTATCAAATACTAAAAGACAGGATGTCTGCAATCTACCCACAGTTCACCGTTTCTTCTTTGAGCTTGATTTGGAATGTTCCAGAGCGGACACACCGAGTGAGAACGAGTTTAGCGTCTGAAAATCGTCCATAACACCTTTCTTGGTCGCGTACCTGAAAATCAGGTACAAGATTAATGAGCCATAAGCTGGGTTGTTTTCTATTTTCTCAGCCACAAAGCAAAACATGCGCTATGGCACCATGAGGCATCTTTTTAGATAATATAATTGTGTTTAGACTGAGTTATAAATAAGATATCTTCTTTCCAGCGAGTTACAGTTATGAATCACTCATTGACTCATCTTCCTGCATGCAGCGAGCAATCCCAAAGGCACTGTCTCGTTGTAAATCAAATACATTGACCTTCTAAACATCATTATGTCATTATAAACGAAGTCATTTTTAGAAAACGCTCGCCGATTTTTTCAGACTGCCATTTACCAGTATAGTAATATAAATACGTTGCTGGCGCGTGATAACTGATAGCTTAAATTCTACGTCAGACCAGATTATCAGTATTTAAGAGATGTCAATTCACTTGGAGGCAAGTTGTCGGAGATTCACTCTAGACGATACAAATTGTTGAGCGCTACAGATAACACTAGTAATTAGTATATCACCTACCTACTCTACCTGCTATATTATCTATATCTTTAGTCACGCTACACGGGAGATGGACTATCACATTTTGGTCGAACTTCGCAATGTTTACGACCTCGAACGTCGCCATTTCAAGTTTCATTGATTCCGTTCGCATTCGTTCGTATTATATGGTAATATTGCAGAATTATGAATAGACTAGTGTAACCCGTGCCTACGGCCGGGACTTCACTATCGCAGTTGAAATGCAGAAGTATAAAGCCGCCTATCATATTTGAAAACACGCATAACATTTTCGTATGAAAGTATGAAACGGGGGGGGGGGGGGGGGGGGGGGGGGGGGGGGGGGGGGGGGGGGGCAACCATATTAAAGTATATTAAAATATACATTAAAAAAAATATGTGAAAATTTTGTTTTATTTAATGTATAGATTAGATTTACCTTTCATGTAAAGTTAGTCTTGTTCAAAGATATTGATACTTGACCGATTTATGAGCCAAAATATATGAAGTATGAGTTCAGGGGACTAGCAACTGGCTTATCTTCTAACCTACTAATTGTAGGTATATTAAAGTTTATTAAAATGTAGGTTTTTTCCGATTTTGACCCGGGGAATGATTGCGTTATAGACTCTAAAGTTTTGAAACATGGTGAGCGGTTTTCTCCTCTCAAAGGGCTGGCAGCTTGTTGGTTAGTTGGACAGGTGTTTTATAGCCAGCCAGCTGTGGGCTTATGAGAGGCTCTTTGTACCGATATCTTGATCATTGTAAGCTGCTCAATGCCAATTGCCAGGGTCATCTTCATGGAAACGTTTAACATATAAATGATTCGATCAAAAAGAATCCGTTTGTAATATGCTAATATAATATTATACTACATAGTATACAATCGTTATGCTGTCGCTGCCATAAAATTAGCTTTCAAGTTACTCTACATAGCTACTTGGTTGGAGCAGAGATCTGAGCTGGTCACGTGCTGGGTACCGTGATCAAATTCTTGCTTCAATTGAGGAGCAGTTCATTGTCGAGGAGAGTTTGCGTTTGGGCCGTCTACTTAGAAGGTCCGCCAAAATCTCGGATTTTCAGACCGCCTGGCACGTCACGAATTTTGTATCAGATACAATATTCGTATCTGATTAAGTTATCGAAACACTCTTTAAGAGAATGTCGAGGAGCAGAAGGTCCGGTGCTATTATGAGTGAAGACATGATTGATTGGGAACCAGTTTTGTTAGGGGCACTTGCCGGGGCCCAATTTAAAATTTACTTCAAATAGTGTGTTCTCATCACAAGAGGAACATAACAGTTATCTGCTGCTTCTTACCACATCAAAAACCATCCTTTCTAGCCTATGATATAGGAAAAATAATTTAATGCATACTAATGCAGTTATTCAATAGAAAAGATAATAAACTACCTACTGTTTTTTATCGCATCAAAAAATATTTTTCGTAGCCCGAGTTATTGTCAATTTAAATAAGTTCGTAATATGAGTTCATAATACATGCTAATAATAAAACAAGCTAGTACGAGCCTCAAGCCTGGTTCCAGGACCAAGGTAATAGTTATGTGTAACGGTTCCAAGGCTCGGATCCAAGGCTCTGGATCCTGAAACTGACAAGCTCGTGTTTCATTTCTGTGGTTGTGGAGCAAATATGGGGAAACTTAGTGGACATTGGCTAACTTGTTCAAACTTGCGTTAAATTTTGCCAGTGAAACTTGTGATCACTATCAGTGGTTAATCTTTAGTGGTACTGCCATGAATTTTACAATATATGCAAATAAATGTCTAATCGTTCATGTCTGGTGGTAAACAATTGGTTAAGATAATTGGTTACGTGTATTTAACCACATGTCAAATAATGATTTTTCTTGAAGATGCTCCCGCCGATTTCGAAATATAGTACTCGGTAGAATACAGTATTCTACCAAGTATTTCTGAATACTATTCTGACCCCGCTGCTCAACGAAAACGATGGGGTGAGCACTTCGCTGAACTACTAAACCCGCAGATAGGAGACGTGGACCTTTCAGACCTAGACAGTCTAGAGGTCGCACCATGTTTTCCGTATCTGAGTGATAGTGATATACCCCCTAGCAGAACAGAGATCTCTGAGGCTTTAAAGAGTCTGAAGAATCACAAGAGCCCTGGAATTGATGAAATTTCCAACGAACAGCTGAAGTATGGGGCTCCTGGTCTTTTAGACAGGCTTGAGAAACTGTTTGCACGTGTATGGGAGACAGAGAATGTGCCAGAGGATTGGGTTAAGGGTATCATTGTTATTGTCCCGAAAAAGGGTGATACATCACACTGCTCGAACAACAGGGGCATTACCCTACGCTCCACGGCATCAAAACTCTATCAGATAATAGTGTTGCGACGGATGAATGCGGGGCTTGAAGAACTGCTCCGAGAGAATCAGTGCGGGTTCAGGAAAAACAGGTCTTGCATAGATCAGATTTATTCGCTCCGTACTATTATTCACAACAGCATTGAGTTTAATCTCCCCCTTTACATAAATTTTGTTGACTTTAAAGCTGCATTCGATTCACTTAATCGGGAGTTTATCTGGAAAGCTTTCAGTCATTATGGCTTGCCTTGTAAATACATTCGCATAATGCAAGCATTCTTTTGCGGCACCGTAAGCGCTGTCAGACATAATGGCGAGCTCTCTGAGTGGTTTGACGTTACATCTGGTTCTGGGCAGGGGGATATTCAGGGTCCACCTATCTTTAATGTTTGCATCAACCTGCCTGCGCAGCGGGCTGAGGATAACAAAGTGTTGTCACACGGGGCAGTGCTGCAGAGAGCTACCACCAGCTCTGGTCAGGATACAGTCGTCCTGGATACTGACTATGCAGATGATTTGGCTATCATGGACAACACCAAGGACGGTCTCCAGGAGACGACTGATCTTTTATGCAAGTATGCGGCTCAGGCTGGCCTCAGAATCAATGCGAAGAAAACAGAGGTTATGGCCATCGGCAAGAATACATCACAGAGGCCGTATACTGAAGCATCAACGGTGGACATTACAGTAGGAGACACGGCTATCCAGCAAGTCAGCAACTTCACTTACCTTGGGTCGATTATATCAAGTGATGGGACTATTGACCGGGACTTGTCTGCACGGATCCAGAAAGCCTCAGGAGCATTCAATCAGCTCGGTAATATTTGGAAGAATCGCAATATCCAAACTAACACCAAAATACGGATATATGTTGCAGCGGTTCTAACAATATTACTTTATGGAAGCGAAGTCTGGAACACTACTTCAAAGCAACTACATCGCTTCGAAGTTTTTCATCAAAACTGTTTGAGGAGAATCCTTCGAATTAAGTGGTTCCACCGGACGAGCAATGTTCAAGTGTTGGAGCGGGCAAGAATAAACCCGGTTATAACCTACATCAGTGCCAACCGTCTTCGCTGGTTTGGACATGTTTCTAGAATGCCGGACACCAGGCTACCAAAGTATCTACTTGACTGGACACCTGCTCACGGCCGAAGATCACGTGGGCGGCCAAGAAAGAATTGGCGAACCTGTGTCCTAGAAGACGCAGTAACATTCACAGGAGATCCAGACATTGTATTTGATAAGGTCCGAGAGTTGGCAGGAAACCGAAAGCACTGGAGAGAGATGATACGACATAAGCGGCAATTCCTTGGTGCAGGCCACTCGAATGATTGAGGAGACCTTATCAAGTAAGTAAGTATCAAGTATTCTGAATACTGAGATATCAATCGTTTCCTTCAGTCGATTCTTCTTAGACTTTCGGATATTGTTTTTAAGGGGGGGGGGGGGGGGGGGGGGGGTTCACCCTAATTTTTTTGTGAAACTTGGTTTCCAGATAGCAGTTGACCAACAAACTAGGGGGGGAGCCAAGTGGATATTTGTAGATATTTGTAGATTAATGTAGAATGGATAATTCACGAAAATTCTACAAATTCTACAAATTTATACATTTATCTCCAAAAATTCAGTAGAATTTCTGGGCACATATTTGAGATATACATTTTTTGTAGATAAATGTAGATATTTGTAGATTATTGTCAATGGATATTATGGACAATTCACGAAAAAAGTGGATGACATTATCCAAATATCTACAAATATCCACTTGGCTCCCCCCCCCTCAAACTAGGACCAGTGACCAAACTTTTGAGGGGGTCCCGGACCACAACCGCCAAACGGTGCCCGCGGGCAGCCACGCCCATATTTGGTCCAAATCAGGCCCAATTTAGCCAAATACCCTGAATATGACCAAAACGCAGATTTTAGGTGCTTTACTTGTAGCTAGTGGTCCCCTGAACTCGTATATGAAGTTTCATCAAGATTGGACAAAAAATGACTGAGTTATGAGCTAAAAACTATATGCCCATATTTGGGCATATTATGCACTAAATTTGATCGATTTTGGCCCATAAATTGGTCAAATATCAATATTTTTGAATGAAACTAACTTTATATGAAAGGTAATCCTAAACTACACATTCTCTATGATTATCAGCTCAATATCTACCTAACTGTGGATTCTGTGTTCAAATAATCGCAAAAAATGAACAAAATCGCCCATATCTCAGTTCGCGATATTTGCAAAACTGACTTCGCTCAAAACAATAGAACTCAATAGGGTTTCAATATTTTTTCATGAAATTTTCAGAATCAACGTAGAATTGTCTCATGACCTTAAGTTTTGGGACAGAATTTTGAGTTAGGCCTTTAAAAAAATTTGGCGGCCAAATTCTAAAATTTGCCGGGCATTTTTCAGAATTTGGCCGCCAAATTTTTTAAAGGCCTAACTCAAAACTCTGTCCCAAAACTTAAGGTCATGAGACAATTCTACGTTGATTCTGAAAATTTCATGAAAAAATATTGAAACCCTACGGGTATATGGCCCCCAGAATATAGGTGGCCCCCAAAATATAGGTCATGTTAGTGGATACAGTTCTAACCAAGATAAGCGATACTAATGGGATCTGTTACTGCTAGGTTGGAGTAAAGCATGTAACTAATGTTTCTGGATAAGAATTTTGGACCTACATGAGGTATTTTGGTATATTTGGTCATGACAGCGAAAGATTTAAACGATGTTGTCATTTTCTAGAGGAGTAAATATGGCGAAAAATTGTCATGACAAAAATCTGTCCAACACATGCCATTAAGACTACTGGTATGAGTATAAGTATTATTTTAAGCTATCTTTTCATCGAGACATCTGCAAACTGACAATTTGGAAAAAAGTTATGGCCACCACAATTTTACGGGCCCCCAGAATATAGGTCTATACGACCCCCAGAATATAGGTTGGTCAAAAACCCTGAACATGCCCAAAACCATGCTTTGGGATGCTCTACTTGTAGCTACTAGTCTCCTGAACCCACATATCAAGTTTTATCAAAATTGGATAAAAATTGGCCGAGTTATGGGATAAAAACAAAAACCATATGCCCATATTTGGGCATACGCACCAAATTTGATCGATTTTGGTCCATAAATTGGTCAAATATCAATATTTTTGAATGAAACCAACTTTATATGGAAGGTAAGCATATACTACACATTCTCTATGATTATCAGCTCAATATCTACCTAACTGTGGATTCTGTGTTCAAATAATCGCAAAAAATGAACAAAATCGCCCATATCTCAAACTGACTTCGCTCAAAACAATAGAACTCAATAGGGTTAAAATATTTTCTTATGAAATTTTTAGAATCAACGTAGAATTGTCTCATGACCTTACGTTTTGAGGCAGAATTTTGAGTTAGGCCTTTAAAAAAATTTGGCGGCCAAAAATGTCTGATTTACAGTCATTGAGGTGCACATTGTATTGATACAGATAAAAACAGCCCCCCTCAATCATATCTAGGGACACTCCTTCAATCTTATTTAAGTATTTAGTTAAGATCCCTACTAAATGATTGCATGAAAGCTTTTTAACTAGTAAAATTAAAGATTTTACTCATTACGGGTATATGGCCCCCAGAATATAGGTTTTAAAAAAAAATAGCGACCAAGATTCTGCATTTTCTCTGTCACCCTGAGCATTGAGGAATGTGGGGTAGTGATGAGAAACAGTTAAAGAAGATATGCTGAAGAGATGGCATCATCAAAATGTATGAAGATGGAGTATTTGAGGACGATTTTTGCATACCTATATTCTGGGGGCCGTAGTTTTTGGTTTTTTGCTATTAAGTATACTCTAAACCATTTCAATTTAGTATCTGGAGCGATTGGCATCATCAATACAGTCTCAGCAACATATTCTGACTGCATATAACTGTCTGTGACAATTTTAGAAAAACTTAGGAACAGATGTTTGGACCTATATTCTGGGGGCCCTGTTAAAAAATGGTATTTTTACAGGTGAAAAAAAAGTACACTTTAAAACCTAATAATTATTTTCAACTACCCAAGAAACATTTAAAGGGTTATTATGTACATATTTACACCCCTAAACATGCTTAGAAGTAGTTTTAACACCTGTTTCTAAGTGCTCAAAAAGCGACCTATATTCTGGGGGCCATATACCCGTATTGAGTTCTATTGTTTTGAGCGAAGTCAGTTTTGCAAATATCGCGAACTGAGATATGGGCGATTTTGTTCATTTTTTGCGATTATTTGAACACAGAATCCACAGTTAAGTAGATATTGAGCTGATAATCATAGAGAATGTGTAGTTTAGGATTACCTTTCATATAAAGTTAGTTTCATTCAAAAATATTGATATTTGACCAATTTATGGGCCAAAATCGATCAAATTTAGTGCATAATATGCCCAAATATGGGCATATAGTTTTTAGCTCATAACTCAGTCATTTTTTGTCCAATCTTGATGAAACTTCATATACGAGTTCAGGGGACCACTAGCTACAAGTAAAGAACCTAAAATCTGCGTTTTGGGCATATTCAGGGTATTTGGCTAAATTGGGCCTGATTTGGACCAAATATGGGCGTGGCTGCCCCGCGGGCACCGTTATGCGGTTGTGGTCCGGGACCCCCTCAAAAGTTTGGTCACTGGTCCTAGTTTGTTTGTCAACTACTATCACGAAACCAAGTTTCACAAAAAAAATCAGGGTGAACCCCCCCCCCCCCCCCTTAAGATACTCATGATTGGATTGAAATGATTACACAGTATCGTTTGACCTTAGCGGTTTTCAAACACAAGAAAAGGATTTTTAAATTTTACACTGGATTAATCGATGATTGCGATATTTGATTCAGTTCATTCGGTTAAAACTTTCGTATATTGTTTCTAGTACAAGTATGACGGACTGGGACCATTAAAAAACAGTAGTAGTTGAGCTTAATTGTGTTCAAACACAACAAAAAGTTTTCAAAATAGTACCCGGTGGTAGAAACCGTAGAATACTGAGAGATCAATCGAGTTCCTTCGGCCGATTCTGCTAAAACCTTCAGGTATTGTTTTTAAAATACTAATGATGGATTACACAGTATTGTTTGAACTGTGTATGGAGTAAGTTATTGTGTTAAGATTCATTACTTTTAACTTGCAAGTCGTCTTTTATCGACGAAAGCCTACCTAACGGTATAGTACACCGGTAAGCGTGGCCAAAAAGAGGCGGCGGCGATGCAGAACACTGGTGCCTGGCACTTATATGTCAAATGGTATCCATATAGGATAAGAGCATGTTTCTCATTTCATTTCATGATTGCATTGATGTTCATAATGATATTGATTTCGATTTCACTGTAGTTCAAGATTATACTAATAACGTGGTATATAACGAGATTTAATATGCCTGTTACTTCTGGGCCACCCTGTAATAAGATTGTGTATCATAATTAGAAGTAGTGGTGATAGTCTATCACTGCACTAGCTTGTGTCTCATTTCTGTTGCTTTAAGTGTTAACTACATTTTCTACTAGATCTTCAAGTAAAGTGTTTCCTGCACGTCCTAAGTACAAGGGCGCCACAGAGAATCTATCAGAATCGGTAGCCAGAAGAGGGGGGAGGGGGCAGAAGGGCGCTTTATCACTAAGTGTACCTCCGCTACAAAAAGCTTCGGGACGAGAAAATATTACTTTACTTAGCTTAATTAGCTTATTAATAAAAACTAATAGTTACCTCGAACTGTTCAGCGGATCAATAACAGGTTGCTGAAGGAGAACTCTCAGTTTGGCTTTCATTATCTTAACTTCCTTTTTAGATTCCAAGGCTTGTGCAGGTTCATCTTCGTTCGTTGTATCCGCAAAACCAGCCTCTTTTGCAAGCGCTACCAACTTCGCTTCTCTCTTATCAGGCCTGAAAACATTTGTATCTTCACAATAGATAACGAATTTTCGTGCAACTTTGAATTATGGTCACACCAGGCTATGGCCTATGCATGGTTTTTCCACAGTTTTTAAGATTTAAAAAAAAAAGAAGATAAAATACAAGTTATTATTAGTTACACTGTCATAATAGGGATTGGTTACCAAAACCTATAAAAAATCTATTAACATTACCAATTATCATTATCATACGTTTTATCTAAAACCTACATACCTTAATAAAAACATTATAATTATTTTGTTAATTATATTAGTGGGCCCTAGAGGACACACGCCACGGTGGTAAATAAGTTAGCAGCCAACAGTGGGGGGGAGGCAAAAAGAGCATTTTGTTATTTAATATCTACCCGCGTCACCCACTCGTTATGTTACCAAACTTTTTTGCCATATTATTATTGGTCCTTCTTGTAGTTTTCAGCATAGCAAAAACGGTCAATCATTAGGCGAGAATAGCGGAAATAATTTCGAGCCAAATTACTGTGGTAAATGGCGAAAGGTAACGATTAAAACTTCAAAGTACAGATAATTACAGCAACTTTGTTGACGCGTGAAAGTCTCTAATGATCTTCTAATTTTGTCTTTAGTCATAGGACAAATGAACTGCAACCATAAGTTTCGCTACAAGCCTGAACCATTCTACAATCTACAGCATTAGAAAATATGCGATAATTAGCGAGATCGAAGAATTTAGCACCATAGAATTGAGTTAGTGGCACAAAAACCTGAGGGGGACCAACAGATGACTAACGTCTAACTGTAGGAGAACAGATCATTATCTGTACTTAACGAGTAATGACAGAGTAATATAGATAAGGAGGAGGAGAAGGAGGTACAAATAGACAATAGACATCTCATTATTTCCAACAGGGGATTTGTATTGGGAACCTTTTCTAGATACCTTAGTTTCCAAAAATTTGTGTGCCATTATATTGAGCACAATTTATTTGAGCCCGAAAAATTTGGGCAGAAAATTTGAACTCATTTGGGCGACCGAAAATTTGGGCACAAATTCTTCGAAAAATGAACGATTTTCCACTAAAATTTCAGTTAAATATTTGCCTTAGTTCATTATTATTCCTTATTTGACCAAAAACCATAATCATGGGTAGAGTGGACCGCTGCCAGTGTCTCTCTTTCCCAAACAAAAGGAAATGATATTAATTTGACTGACCGTTCTCATATGCAAATTGATACCGAGAATGAAATCGGTCGCTCGCTTTTCCTATTCAATAAGCTTTATTACAATTCGTAAGCCGTTTAACTGTCATGTTACTGTTAAAGCAGGAACTAAATCTAATCGAAATAAAGAGAGTGAAGTTCTCACTTTTTGCAAACTTTGAGCGGACGTTGCGTGCGCATCCAATATCAAATCACCGTAAAATTTTGAATTTTCGTGTTTCTTATGTATTTTAATAAGTGTGCAAAGTTTCAGAATATTTTAGGAAGAACTCGCATCACAACGGGACTCCAAAGCTGATAAAAATCGTGAAAATAACAATTTTCAGTGATTTTAGCAATTTTCTATCAATTTGGGCGTGTCCCCACGTGTGCAACTTTTCGATTTTCACTTCACCAGAGAATACTAATTCACAACTTTTGTCTTTTTATAAAATTATTCTTCAAAAAGCACTAATTTCAATAGCAAATATCTTTATGAAGGAGCAAGGTAGAAACATTTTCCGGTAGATTTTTAGAATGCTTGAACAATTATCTAAGGTGAAAATTTCCTCGGATTTTGAATAAAATTACTCCTTAATGGTGTTAAATTGATTTGAAAAGTTGTTATTTTGTCAATAATCAAGATTTAAAAACGCTTAATTTGATGACGTCATCATGTGGTGATGATGACTTTAAATTATTTTTTGATATAATGTAAACTAAAGTTTAAACGATTATCTTCAAGACCTATGGTTGGAGATGACTGTATTGTTTATACTTTTGAATCCACAGATACCAGAGGCGGCTCGTAGGAGCTGGCTGGCAGTTTTGTTGGGGGTCCAATCGATGGACTGGGGGGGGGGGGGGGGGGGGGGGAGGGGGCTTGGGAGCCGGCTCAAGCTGATCCCTCCAAACTACCGATTACATTACACACAGGGCCTTGTAAATGTAATGTGTAACACTTTACAGGCGACAGCAAACAAAACAAAAACTTTTAACATGGGTGAAACAGGACACCACACGTGTACGATCTCAGCCGCGCAGTATCATATAGCAGTCAAATTGCAAAGGGTCCTGGACCCCCAAATCGAGGCAAATCATAATAGATTACCTGTAGTGGGATGCGCACGATGTGCTTTGTAACGTTTACAATTAACTATGTGTTAAAACTGCGCGGCTGAGTAGTCCAGAGGTAGGATTGGACTCCCTACAACACAAATTTCACGAAGATCATGCGTGCCAGCGTGCGCTTACATTAAAACGTATGATAGTAAATGAAGACCTTTGTATTGCGATTTGTTATTTCCTAACACTATTACTAATTACTATTTCTATTTTAAGCACCAGTCACCAGATAATAATTTTAAGGCGTCCACGGACGCCTGGACGCCCTCAATAGCTGCCTCTGACAGATACTTGAATGTAGGCTCCAATTTAAGCCAAATTGACTGCCAAAGCGTCTATAGATAGATACATATACTTCACGACAATCTGTTGTGAAACAAAAAAAAATTGTTGTTTTCTTGTAAAACAGGGGTTCCAGAAAACCCACTTCCCGATACTCCTGAAACTTGAAACTTTTTTTACAGTCGATTTGGTCAACATCTAGATACCTTGTAGCGCGATGCACTACTGGGTCGCGCGCGCATCAAATAATGCTTCTCGCAACCACAAATCGGCGAGATGCGAAGGATTGGCATCGTGAATCAAGACACCCTGCAAAGTTTCAAATCTCTAACTCAATTTTAACACGGTTTTTAAGGCACCTGAATATGGCGATTTAGGGTTTTTTTACCTAATTTCGTAAATAACATGCTGGCGCGTATTTTGCGCAAATTTCTTAAAAACCTCCACATAACTATTTCTTATTCCTGTCATCTTTAACATTGAATTAGAATGGGGGTAAGCAGTAAGGGGGGTAAATAGTAAAGGGGGGTAAATAGTAGAGGGGGTAAATAGTAAAGGTGGGTAAATAGTAAAGGGGGTAAATAGTAAAGGGGGTAAATAGTATTGTGAATATAAGGGCAACGGTCATGCTTGCCAGCATTGTGATTATTCCAGTCATTTTGCTTTCAATCCTTTTTAATTGGTCAAGCCATGAATGACAGATTAGAAAACTAAAAGTTTAAATATTATTTCACTTGGATATGAAAAAAAGCCATCTTTCTATAGATTTCAGGGTTAACGGGTGATACTCGTAAAATATGTGTTCCATATACTCGGCGCGCGTCCTGGTAGGTTGTAAACCTACAATTTCAGGGCCAAATGCCAAAAGTTTGGTTAGCAAAAAATTTAGCAGACGGAAAAGATTTATGCTATAAATTTGGTCTGCAAAAAATTTGGGCGAGAGGCCCGCTCAAATTTTTTGTCGCCCAAATTTTTGGGAATTAAGGTATTACTAATAACTAATAATATAACTATTAGAAGTAATAATAAATGTCGGGTTTTTGATGAGTCTGATAACTGCCGATTGGTACAAAAGGAAAATATTTTGCGGTATCAGCAAGTTTACCAGAGTTTCAACATTTACTTAAGTCTAGTTATACATTACTTTATCATATTTTATCGAACTAAGGTGTAGTATTGCCAGATCCCAGTTCATTTTGTAACGGAGTTTTATATTAACAGGAAACGATGTAACAGAGTCGATATATTTTAATGTTGCCATGGGGTGGCAAGTCCCCATACATCGTGGTCCGGTAGTTTCATTGCGTCCTAATATACATATATATATATATATATCGTCTCGCTTTATGTATAGATTATGAATTAAGAAAGCAAAAAACTGAACGTTGAAACATGATGCAAACACTCCAGCTAGCAACGTCATCTAAAACCAATTAAGTCGCCACAAAATATATTTGACCCATATTATCCCTCGGCCTTAGTTTCAATCTTATCTCTGCAAAGGATTTTACCAGCCTTTATGAAAAACATTTTATCCTTCTCTTCTGCCGCTCTATTCTTCATTTCCTTGACTTAAGGCGGGTAGTGTTCCCGAGATCCATTGACAACAGTTCTCCACAGCTTTCTGTCCTCCATCAGTCTAGCTATCTCATCTACTGACTTCATCCCAGTATCTGCTTTTAGGTAATCTAGTAATGTTAAGTAAAGTCGCCCGCGGCCCCCTGTTAGTATGCCCATGACTCGGCTGTATGGCAGCTTTTGGAATTATTGTGATAACTCAATGCTGTGCCATTCCAGGTGGTTAAGTACGCTCTCGCTTACAAACATGGTTTTTTGATATATCACAGTTGGTGCAGTGTTTAACCTTTTTACATCAAAACTTCACTAAAAGTATTGGGCACCATGGTGGTGACATAAGATATAATAAATAAATTAAGCATAAACTATATATGTTGGCCTACAGCGAAATGACTACCCTATATAAGTCTTTGGTCAGAAGCCTACTAGAGTACTGTTGTCCGCTGTGGGACCCTGTTAAGGTGACTGAGATCCAGCTTTTAGAGGGGGTCCAGCGAACATTCACCGATCGTATTATATGCGGTCTGGAAAATATGAACTACTGGGAGAGGCTTTCACATCTAAAGCTAATGTCACTGCAGCGCAGAAGGGAACGGTACACTATTTTGATGATGTGGAAGATCCTTCACAATGTTGTCCCCAATTGCAGCAATATAAGGTTCACAAAAACATCCAGACATGGTACCCGAGCAATCATCCCTTCCCTGTCTAGGTTGAGTTCCTCGAGCAACCAGACACTCTATGACAGCTCATTTGCTGTAAGAGGACCAGAACTGTGGAACAAAGTGCCTGATAATATTAAAGCTGAAGCTACGTTTGAGTCGTTTAAAGTTAGTTTGTCCAAGTTTATTGCTTTGATACCGGACAACCCTCCGACTTCCGGTTATAGCTGCAGCTGGTCTAATTCCCTGGTAGACTACTCGCCATCGAGGTGGTCAGAAATCTGATGACGCTTCCTGCTACGAGGATAAACACAACCAAAGTAACCAAAGTAAGTACAGATGGTTAAATACGTGCGCGCATGCTTAACCATCTGATTACTAGAATTCATAATCTGTGATATTCAAGGGATGGTTAAATGCTTCAAAGTGGCGTATTTCAGATTATTCCCAGATTTGCTGCTATTGCTGTACCGTTACTTGGGATCTTTAATATTCCGAAACTCAGACTATTAGTTAAACGGTGCAGTAGTGCCAGTATTCACTAAACAGTAGAGCTAACTTAAATAAATCAGGGTTTCGATGATACTTTTATTGAACTCAGACTATTTGTTAAACGGTAGTGCCAGTTGCGGCGAAAGTTTCATTAAACGTCAATCAACAAGATCGTCAATCGACAAGATCGCTTAGAACCAAACCAATATGCCTTGACATTTATCAGTTCCTACTTATAATAGGCGACATGTGTTCAGCAGTAATTGCTGACAGTACACACTAATTGCATTCGTTTGTATTTTGTTGTCTCTTATCAGCTTGCTTATTTCGGGAATAGCATCAAATATGGGGAAACTTAGTGGACATTGGCTAACTTGTGATCCGTATCAGTGGTTAATCTTTAATGATAATGCCATGAATTTTAAAATATATGAAAATAAATGTCTAATGGTCTATTTGTGGTGGTTAACAATTGGTTAAGATAATTGGTAACGTGTATTTAACCACATATATATGAAATCACATTTAACATTTAAAATAGCCTATTATACCCCCTCATACTTAAGCTAGCACCTGGAATTAATTATTATAAGTCACTACATGTGCCTGTTTTAGTGGTTTATTTGAATGCTATTGACATAGCAGCTTCATAATTTTAAGCTTGGAAAATATGAAGGCCAAATTATGAGCATGTTTTGTGTATAATTGTTTGCAAATGCATAATTGACCCCAAGTTCATGCATTACGATCAATGTGCAGCTAAAGCTAAGGTGGTTAAAATGTCTGGAAAATACCCTATATTTGCACTAATTAACCATTTTTAGTGCACATATTATCTTTGTTAAATGCTTCTAAGTGGCGTATTCCCGGCGTATTTCAAGGTTTCCCCAGATTTGCTGCTATTGCTTGCGCGGTAGTGCCGGTATACAGTAGTGCTAACTTAAATAAAACAGGGGTTCGATGATACTTTTATTGAACTCAGACTGTTTGTTAAACGGTAGGGGGGGGGGGAGAGAGAGAGAGAGAGAGAGAGAGAGAGAGAGAGAGAGAGAGAGAGAGAGAGAGAGAGAGAGAGAGAGAGAGAGAGAGAGAGAGAGAGAGAGAGAGAGAGAGAGAGAGAGAGAGAGAGAGAGAGAGAGAGCCTTTAGAGCGTTTATTTGCTTCTGGCAATCTGGCATGTGGTTGAGTCGTTTTGTTAATAATTATATTCAATTTGATCGCAAGCGAACCACATGCTCATGCTAGTATGGCTATATAACCAAGATGGGTGTTTATTTGTTAAGCTGCTCTTCGCTTTTTTTGTTGCTAACAAGACGGTAACCATATATACTCACGGTGTTACTCATGTTGTAAAGGTTCAGAGCACACTAAATAAATCTAACCACCTATACCTTTTTACAGTTTCTAGTAATCCATTATTTCCTCAGATATGACTAAGTATATCAAAACAGCGGACTATGCGATCGGATCAGCGCTGGCAATAATCTCTCTTTTTGGAACAACCTTCAACACATTTGCTTTCCTGTACTTCAGAATGCTAAAACCCAAAAGCCAAACGGGAATGTTTTTCAAGTACCTGTACTTGGTCATCACCACTACAGACATACTGGTTTGTGTCTCCATCTTCCCCATGATAGAAGCTATATTTGCCGACCACCGAGAGGGGATACTGTTTAAGAGTGAAGGTCTGTGTAGAGTGTGGGCCATATTGTGGGGCTGTACCATACCCCAGATGACCATCTTCCTGGTTGGCATGCTCAGCATATCCCGTCTACTTGTCCTGTGGAACCCCACCATGAGACTGGTTGTCACCTTTGCTCACACTGCACCAGTCTCCGTGTTCCTTATCATTGTCATCACCTACACCACCCTGCTGCTCAACAGCACTGTCTACCCCAAGTACATCCCTAACTGGGTGTCTTGTCATGTCAGCAGCTTGAACCCTCATTATCTGGACAAGACTGTCACCCAACAAGACATGGACATTGGAATTTACCTCATCCTTATCCCACTAAATGTCATACCTGCTCTCTCCATACTCCCCATAGGCATTTCCTTCACTCTCTCTCTGATCCGCTTGCAAAGTTTTGGTACGAGAATCCGCTCAATCAACAACTCTGCAATGAAGCATCAAGCAGCTGCTAAAACTGTACTAGCAGTAACCATGGTTTATCTTCTCCTCAATTTACCATATGCCTGTGGTATGATGATGGCACTAAGAGCCATTATCATGAGCAGCAGGGAAATTCAAAGCAAAGAACTTAATATCACAGCTCAGGAATACCAAAACACATTTCAGCTTCCTCCTGAACAATATCTAATAACTAACTACTTGGTCCCAGTTACTTCGGTTCTTTTTGTGGGCCTTAACAGTCTGCTGAATCCACTGATATACTTCTGGAGGATTAACGAGTTCAAAAAGTGGGTGGTTCGTATCTTCACAAGGAAAAAACCGGGAGTGGCTCCAATACCACCATCAAGAAAGAAATCCAGCACAACCACCTGTAACAGCCGAAACATAAACTGTACCACACTCAGAGACTGTGACACACTCAGAGACTGTGACACAATCAGAGACTGTGACACAATCAGAGACTGTGACACAATCAGAGACTGTGACACAATCAGAGACTGTGACTGTATCACCATCAGCAACATAAACTGTGACATCACAATCATTGGCAAAATCAGCAACACAAACAGTGACACAGTCAGTAACAAAAACAGTAACCCAGTCAGTAACAAAAACAGTAACACAGTCAGTAGCAAAAACAGTGACACAGTCAGTAACAAAACCAGTAACACAGTCAGTAGTAAAAACAGTAACCCAGTCAGTAACAAAAACAGTAACACAGTCAGTAGCAAAAACAGTGACACAGTCAGTAACAAAACCAGTGACACAGTCAGTTACACAATCATTAACCCTTCTTGTTACGCGATTGATCTCAAGAAGTCGCACAAGTGTACAGGTCTAACCACTGTTTGAAATGAGGACTGGAAGGAGCTGAACTGAATGACAATCTAGGATATCATAAGCTCCATGAGCTTGCAGTGCAAGTGGTCACTTATGCGAAACTTGTGTGCATTCTCAAACAGGGGGCTAGCTGCTGAATGAAAACTAACCGTGTTCTTAGTCGTTCTATCTTGAATATTTGTCGGGCTTGTTCTACTGCAGGTCGAAGTAGTCTGATTCTACTGCCTTCGGTGGGGAACTCTGACATTTGGGAAGTTATCTTCTTGTAGGTCTTGAAATCCTAGATGATAAGTAAGGGTTACTTGATCATAAACAATATTATAAGGTAGATACCGAAGCAAATCAATTACTCGACGTAAGCTTATGTGCTGTTGTTTTTTGTTTATTACCATATACTTCTGGCTGTAGAAAGCTTGAAAATCAGTTTCCAGTGATCGACCGAGGGCAGGATTTGCGACCGAGGCCGGCATATTGTAATTTAACCGAGGCCGAAGAGAACCGAGGTATTATTTTTTCAACCGAGGCCGAGGAGTACTAATTGAGGCCGAGGCCGAAGAATTTTAGTACAAAAAAAGTATTTATTGCATCAAATATTTGACGACTAGGATGTAGAATGAGGTAATTCGACATAGTTATTGTTTTAATCTTCACAGTTTTCAACTTTGAACAACCTTCTTTACTTACCAATTTTCCAAAATTACGAATTTTAAAAGTGCCTATAGCTATGTTGTTCCATGGTAAAATTTGTACAAAATCCTCGGTCAAATCCTCAAATTTTGCCGAGGCCGAGGAATAGCAACTAGATTTTTTACCGAGGCCGAGGCAAACCGAGGAATCATTCTTCTGACCGAGGCCGAGGAAAAATCGTCATTCCTCGGTAAAACCGAGGCCGAGGACTCGGTCGATCACTGTCAGTTTCAACCATTATTTGGAACACAATCTTTTGAGTTTTACTTAATCTTATTTCAAATACCACAATTAAATTGTATAAATAATCGGCTGTGCGTAAATTTACCTCTTGATCCCAATATAAATAAATAATATGGTGTTCTGCCTAAAACGAACCTTGGGTCCCACAATAGCCACACTAAGACCGGGGTTGTCTGCACGTGCAGTCCTGCCCGACCTGTGAATGTAGGCCTCCTTTGTGGAGGGCAGCTGGTAATGTATTACTGTGTCTACCTCTGGAATGTCTAGCCCACGTGCTGCTATGTCTGTACATATCTGAAATAGTTAGTTTTAATATCCACTTGTAGTTTAGTTAGGTCTCTCACAAACCAGAAAATAATAAGTTTTGTTACGGGGATCAAGTTTCAAACTTTGGGGAGCGGGAACTGTTGAAACGTATTGACAAACCATGACTGAGGCGGTGCTCTGAGTGAACTTTTCCAAGTACTTGAAGCGTTGTCGTTGTTGTAAAGCAGAGTGGAGAGGTATCACTGGTAACTCTAATAACTTCATTATGTGAACCTGAAAGCATGGACTTCTTTAAATTGTCAACGTTTTAGTCCATGGTATTCTTCGCAGGATGTTAATATAATTTCTACTTCCTTAAATTATAGAAATATACCAAAGTTGCGATATCTGTAATCCAGTTAAGGGGTTTTTCAAATTAAAAGGTAAAAACCCATTTCCTTGTTTTGAATCAAAGCAAAATTGCAGTGCTTCAGAGAAACAACTCACAATATTCATAACGTTATCGATAGAGTTAGCAAAGACGAGTATTTTGCCAGGATGATTCAGTAACATGTAGTAAAGGTGAAGGTCCTTATCCTCGACATTACACAGAAAGTAGGTCTCCGTCAGCGTCTCAGCAGTTCCTTTCTTCTGGGTGAAGTCTACCTTCTCAACCTTCTCTTTAACTCCGATATTTCTTACTAGCAGCTCAATACCTGCATTCCCTTTCTTCTCAGCTCTTTTTTCCTGCTTAGTTTTCTTCTTTTTCTTAGCCTCTGAAAATATCTAGATTATAGCCAGCTTTCCTATCATTTGTAGAGCTTTCCTTTTATGGATATATAGTCTGATCAACAAAAAAGCATTTATAATGAAGATCCCAACTAGATTCTTCGCTGGTTGTCAGAAGTTAGACAGAGGTTTACTACAACAGCAAATCTCAAACTTTTTAGCACGTGTATAAGCAACTCTTTATCGGACCACACCTATTTCGCCAAATAAGTAATAATAATAAAAGCTGCTGACAGCCACTAATATGCATTTAAAATCGTATTATTTGAATCGTTCTTTAAACTGATTGAGTCGTGTATTGTTATTGAGTCTCATGATTTCATGTTTCTTTTATTCAAATTTCTGATTGTTTCCTAGTAGACTCAGTGAAGACAGATTCTAGTGGAAATAAATAAATAAAAAGGTCTTGAAACTGTGTTTGAAATGATCTCTACTATACTGCCAAATTGCTTTTAGGCCTTTTGCACGAGCAAAATCCTCTAAATAATTTTGCTATTGCTATCCTTCAGCCAATCGAATTTAGACAGGATGCGGTCATCCTTCCATGAACTTTAACTTTTGACAGGCATGTGTGACCATAGATGTTTGACTGCAATTTTAATTCTCATTGCACAAAATTGTATGTTGCCTGCACATACAAATTTTCTCATGGCAAGTTATCCATTAAATAACGTCATCTTGTTTTTGATTGGTCTGATTTACAACTGTCACGTTTTCTATCAACTTAACCATATAAATATTTAAGTCATCGGGAGTGGAACTGGGACAGTTTATTTAATCAACAATTTAAAACGTAAATCTCAAATCATTTAGTGAAAACTGTCTAGTTGAAGTTCAGAGCAGTTTGAGCTGTCAAAGAGCAGTCTGATCAATAATTAATATGGTTCGCCGTGTAATTTTGTCAAAAGACCCACCCACCCCCTTCGCGGTACTAACTATTTTTTCGGATAATATTTTAGACACCCACCCCTTTTGCGGTACTAACTGTTGAGAAATCACGGTACTAACTGTGTCTAGGTATATAAAATAAGACCCACCCAGAAATCGGGTTAAACTGCTCATTAAACATTGGGAAATGGGCAAATTATACTCACTATTTAGTAGGGATTTTGTTTTCAATGTAGTCGAATTAGATAAAAAGTTACAAAACCTAATATTACTGCCCAGTGCCCAAACCTAATATGATATATTTTGACAGGCAAAATTCATACAATTACCGATTTAGGGATGAAGGAGTGTGTTCAGGGCTCTGAAAGTGTCATACTCAAATAGAAATGGTGGAAAATGGTTAACTTCAGTTATGGTCTCATATCTCTATGATTTTAAATAAAAGGTTGAAGATTTTTGTGTATTTTTCGAAATTTCAGTAAAATTGAGAGCGTTAAGTGACAAATTCCATTTATTTCGAAAAATCAAGCTCCAATTTAATCGGTCTAAAACCATTAATCATACGTCTACCATAATGTGGCCATTGCGGTCATTTTGCACACCCTATTGATATCTCATAGACCTTTGGAAGCCGATTAAAATCTTTTAGGGTTGAGGCGTATGGATGCCTGGAGAAAATTTTTCTAAAAATGTTTGCCCAAACATTTCAGCTGGACGGTTTTTTGTGGTTCCTGGTACTATGGACAACACATTCCTGTGGAAAAACCTTTGTTACGAATTTATTCACAGGGTTTATTACTCTTGCCCTAACTATATAAGTTATTCCCGAAAACGTAGGGCCGATAAGGAAGACTATCACGGCTTAAGTACCACTTTAAATGAATCGAAATTTCTAGAGAAAATACCTAGAGAAAATACCAATGTCCAAGATTCCTTTCGGCAAGGAGAAAAAGATACGAAAAACACCCATAAGTATCACAATACGTACTTTCATCAAGACGGTCGATAGTGAATGCGAGGGTAGCAGAGAAGAGGAAAGCGTTGCGCTGTTCTGGGCCTGGAATTCTACCTATTATCTGTGTTACCTCCTCAAAATGTCCGTCAGCGACCATTCTGCAATATATTTCATACAGAAATATACAGTAGTTAGTTAATAGTTTAATAGTACTATGTTTACAGTATGCACTGAAGGGGTATCCTAGGAAGTTTCTTGAACTTTTAACAGGTACCCCTGGCCCTCCTCATTTAACCCTCAATTAAGTTTCCTATCATTCGGCTGAGTCGACTCCCTAGACTAGGTGAAACTGGGATTGGGGGGGTTGCAACGACCATTAATGACCATTAATGACCATTAATGACAATGTCAGTTTTGACAAAATTCCATCTACTGACATTAATGGTCGTTGCAACCCCCCCCCCCCCCCCCCAGTGGCGTAACGAAGGGCCCTGCTGACCCCGCTGTGCAGGGGGGCGCCGTCTTAGGGGGGCGCCAAATCGTCGTTTGAATGTGGGACAATTTCGAAAACTTAACTAAAGTACTAGCAAAACTGCGCGTTTTGCTGTAGAAACACACTTTTTTAGAGATTTTACCGGCGTATCCTCTAAAATCACCTAATTTGTTCAATTTTAGGGAGGGGCACCAAAAGGGGAGGGGGCGCCAACCGGGGGGCGCTTTTTCGGCAGGGGGCGCCAACAGGCAACGTTACGCCACTGCCCCCCCCCCCCCTGGGATTCGAACCCTGAACCTTCTGCGCAGAAGGCAGATGCTCTAACCACTAGGCCACCTAGCCCCTTATACAGTACTTTGTTCTCAATATTCTCGACTTCCTACAAAATCCTTGAATCGGACAACACAGCTAAATCACACTCAGGTCTTCAGGAAGACGAGGTTTGTCTTCTTTACGTGCATAACGTTACATATTTTGAATATATTACTAACGCTGGCAAAATAAGAGCGTATCTTACCTGTCAGCTTCGTCGATGACGAGGAACTTGACGGTGGACAGATCCTGGAGATATGGGTGTTCCTGGATGAGCTGCCACAACCTGCCAGGTGTAGCCACCAGAATGGGCGGCTTGTACGAGAGTAGGCGCTCCTGTTTGGGTGACGCTATACCTCCTACTATGGGAACTATTCGTACTCCAGTGTGCTTGCAAGCAGCTCGTAAGTGATCCGTCACCTGGGGTGAGTCGTTACATCGAAATTTTATATTTTTATGGTTGGTTTTTAAAAATTGCAGTGTAAATCACAAATGACAGCGATTCTTGACACATTTTAACTCCGCCACTCGACTAAGTTTATAAATACATAACAAAGTGAGAGTGACAAACACACAATGTGTCACCTGTAAAGCAAGCTCCCTGGTAGGACACAGAACCAAACCCTTCACACATTTATCATCTGACAGTCTCATGATCCTCTGAACCAGAGGTATCCCAAACGCTAGAGTCTTCCCTGACCCCGTCTCTGCAGCTCCTATCACGTCCTAAAAGAGGAGAGAAATAGGGAGGCGTCCTCTGGGGGGGGGGGGGGGGGGGGAGGGCGTCCTCTCCTCGTTCAACTGGTCACAATTGGAGGCCAATAAGAAAATAGATATAATATTAAATGCTAGTAAGAGCCTGAAAACGTAAACATTTAATACAGTAGACCGATTATCTTACCTTATACTTTAAAAGACCCGCTGGGATACACGCCTGTTGGATTGGAGTGGGGTTCAAGAAACCCAGCTCTAGTAAACCCTTCACTATTGGCTCACAGACATCCAGTCTTAGCCAAGCTTTAGCCTTTTCCTTCTCCTCTTCAGTGAGAGCAACTGGGCCAGACTCAGGCTCTGTATCATCAAGGACAGTATCAACACCTGCTGTATCATCAGGGACAGTATCAACCTCCATTGTGGTGATCACATCTTCAGTAGGGTTAGACACTGATAGTGGCTGTGGCTCATCAAGGATAGTTTCTCCATCCACCGTAGCGACACTATCTACTTTGGTAGTTTCCTTGGTTTCAGTTTCCATGGCTCAGGAGAAGTGGACAGTACAGAAACATTATCTTTATCTGTATTAACTATCTCCGAAGAAATAACAGGCGACTCACTAATCTGTGTTGTCGACTGGTTAGGAACACTCAGTTCTTCAGTAGACGTGTCAGAAGGTGCTGGAAGGACTGAGGTGTCTGCGTTGACGGGTTTTTCATTGGAACTAGGACTGGCTTCGGTTTCCTTTTCGGCGATAAATTTGTCAACTTCAGATTGTAACTGTTTTTCTTGCATCTTCTTCAGTTTCTTAGCCCTCCTTTTCGCTTTTATTTTTTCCAGCCTTAATTTATTTTCTTCTGAGTCAGGATTTTCGAGTTTTCTCAATTTTACTTGTTGCATTTTCGCCTTCCGCTTCAGCTTCACCTGCTCTTTCTTGTCTGCGAATGACAATTTTTTCCGTTTAGTACAAACAGTCAGATCTTCCGACCCCTCAGCAGTTTCCCCATCTGCTTGATCATCAGCTGATTTTTTAGATTTCTTACTGCCAGTTTTAGGACCAGTTTTCTTCTTACGTTTACCAGGTCTTTCTATCTGAGAAGAAACAGGATGAATCCCGATAATCTATAATTAAGTTCATCAGATTCTTCTAATAATTTGCAGCTGTGTAAAGGTAGCGAAATCCCTAGATTGACGTACGTTTTCTGTTAGTTACGATATCAATTTTACCACTCCCTCCATCCAATCCCCTTAAAATATAACGTGACCAAAATTGAAATCAAACTTATCCCTGCCCAATCTTATAGATTTTCTTACCATGAAATCTTCCTCGTCAAGAACCTCCAAACTAGCAAGTCCCATAGACATAAGACTTTTTTCTTCTTCTATGTTGATAGCACTCCAATTTCCCTCCGATGCCTTATCTGGTGGGAGATGGTTTATAAGATACGCAACACTATCGCTTGTACCTATTTGTCAACCTACTGTAAAGTTATTAACAGGACCCACCATTGTAATACCAAAAACAAGCCATTGCCGGACACCGGTAAGTACCTTTATTTTTAATCTCTGACAGACCATCCTTCAATTCCTTGAGCTTCTCCTTCTTGTTCTTGGCTCTCTCAGTTTCTGGGCGTTTCCTCTTCTTCGTCCTAACTTGTTCATCAGTTTTTATCTTGACTTTAGGGACTGCAGTCATGGTGCTATAAGATACGGTTACGTTACAACTGCTTATGATATACAATATGCCAGAATATAAATCCTTTTTGCTCAATTTTGTATAAGTGCTGCTCGAATATACTCCAATAAACACTATTTCATAATTAAATTTTGTAATAGATTTAACAAAGTAAGACTCAGCAGATTGGTAAGATAAAAACAAGTTTGATCTATAAATTATGCTACAAGAGCTGAGGCGGTGGCACTTTCGTATCTCCAGTTGGGTGGGAGGACTGATTTAGTTTTGTAGTATCTGGCCAGTTTGTGAACTCGGCTTTCGATCAGAATCAGTCTGTACTTGGAGTCTTTGTCCTGTCTGTTCTTCTCCAGATGTTTCCTGATGGCCACTGCTTTCTTGATCAGATGGTACAGATCCTCTGGGATCTTGCTGGCCAAACCCTTCGCTCTCAGAATTCTCAGAATCTTCGTTCCAGTTAAATGTTTGATCTGAATTGGATTATGGATTATAGTGAAGTAGATAGTTAACATATTTCGTCTCTGATCGCCGAATCCATATATAAAATGCAAGTTAAATGGTAAATGCGACTATTAAATGCAAATGGTATAATTTCAATATGTAAGTAAACATGCAATATGCATTTAAAACGTTTAGTGTCAACCGAGAAATCAAATTGGATCAATACTTTTGGAGGAAGTATTTTGATTTGTTATACCGGTTAATATATGTATAATCAAGAGAGAAATTCTAACCTGGTTGACACCATGAGAGTCCCTGAGGATGACACCAATTTGAGAGGGAGTCAGACCTTTCTTGGACAGTTTGTAGATCGTGTCTTTCACCTCGTCGGCTGTCAGTTTCTGCCAGGTAGGAACACTACGTTTGTAGGGGAGGGCTGACTGGGCAATACCCTTTCTGAAAGTACCTTCGGTTAGGAGATTTTACTACGTACATGCTTATTTGGTTGCTGGAGTCAGCTGATGTACTGCGAGCCATAGCAGAGTTATTAAATTCGTCTCGACAAGGAAAGCAAACTTATCTTTTTCGTGTTAAAATTCCATAAAACTATGACAAAAGAGATAAAGCTTTGACAAGTGTAAAATTAAAGCTTTATAATGAATAACTTACCCGGGGGTATGCATACGAACCATCTCGTCTGCTTTCTTGGCTAACAAAGTTTCTCAATTAGAAATCAGTTAATGAAATAACTTAAATTTCACCTCCATGAAAATTAATAATAACGAACTATAACACGACGAAGTAATCTGAATCCTTGAAAGTTTAGTGCAAAACGTTTTCTCGGTGATAATTTAGAATCATAAGTCAAATTAAGACAATGAAACAAGTGATTTCAAATAGTTAAAATGATAGGAAGTGATTAGTGATCAGAGATAAATTATGCTACAAGGGCTGAGGCGGTGGCACTTTCGTATCTCCAGTTGGGTGGGAGGACTGATTTGGTTTTGTAGTATCTGGCCAGTTTGTGAACTCGGCTTTCGATCAGAATCAGTCTGTACTTGGAGTCTTTGTCCTGTCTGTTCTTCTCCAGATGTTTCCTGATAGCCACTGCTTTCTTGATCAGATGGTACAGATCCTCTGGGATCTTGCTGGCCAAACCTTTCGCTCTCAGAATTCTCAGAATCTTTGTTCCGGTTAAATGTTTGATCTGAATTGGATTATAGTTAAATATAAATAGTTGACGTATTTTGTGACGATTCCGTTTAAAACGGATAAATAGGTGAATTAAACGACAAGGGGAGCGGTGCGGCGATGGCACTTTACTATTAAGAATTCTCACTATCTACGTTCCAGATAAATGATTTATCTGAATCTAAGTATTATTAGGCGAGTACATAGTTTACGTATTTCGTCGCCGAATGATGGATCCGTTTAAAGCGGATAAATGCTCATAGATGAATTAAGCAACAAATGCCGAGACGATGGCATTTTCAAATTTCCAGTTGCTTTCAGAATTCTCAGAATCGTCGTCCCAGTTAAATGTTTGGTCTGAATTGGGGCAGATATGGAAAACATGCATGTAACACAAAAATACTTATTCATATAATAAGGATTTTGGCTTTAGGACAAGGTTTTTTTAAAGTGTCATTGATTTGCTGATTTTACCTTTTTCAAAGTAGAGTGAATGAGGAAAAAATCATAATGCTTTTTAAAGTGCGACCATACATTTGTACATAGGATGAAGTGAAAATATTCAGCAGTTGTAATTTGAAAAAAAGAAGTTCCTGGCTCAAGAAGAATATGACGTATGAGCAATTTAATTGAGTGCCAAAAATCTGCAAACCATTTTAACCTCCAAATGACTAATTTCATTGATTTCGTTACGTTTTGCTCAAAAATTGTTCACATTACAGTGGTAGATAGAAGTGAGTAACTGTTTTCAGCATTTTAGTCATCATTAGCAATTCCAGTAGGTGACAGAATCGAGCAAACAGTCATTTTTATATCTGAATACGACTGCTCTATTGATGGTTCTTGTCAAAACATTAAAAAGATTAAGGCGTGACTGTGTTTTGTTATGGACAAGATAATGTTTGGTTGTGTCTTTAAACTAATTCCTACATGTCTATGTGCCAGCTATCAGCAAAAAGTCACACATATATCAGCTTGAAATTTTATTTTGTTTAATTGATCAAATAAGTATCGAAATTTCAGTTCTCTTTTTCAGTCACTTCATTCACTTTTCTGTACTGCTTACACTTAATCATGTTCCCAGTGCCCAAATTCAGCATATAATCAGTCATATAGATGAATGATGTAAAAAGACAAAAATTGTCTAGTTCTTGATCCATGGGTATATTAGTATTAGTTTAAGCATCTATTTCGAAAAGTGATATGTTTATAATATAAAGGGGTCAAAAACAAATAATAATAATAATAATATTAGAGTGCCAATAATCAGCTGTTGTGACTGCTGCAGCCAACGTGGGAATTACCAACTAACAGAAATCTACTTCATTGTGCCACTAATCATCAAATAGTCATTTCTTTGAAGATTTTAAGCTCAAAATATTCTTTTAAAAATGACCTTATGCTGAATTACACACAATATTGTTAGATGTTGTAAAGAAGGTGATATAAAGAAGGTGATATGCCACCAATGTTGGCACTACTATTGATATCTGGCAGCCTAAGCAAGTTCATCAATTAAATTGATGAACTTGCTTATGCTGCCAGATATCAATAGTAGTGCCAACATTCAGCAAAGAGTCCTTTCTTTTGAATTTTGAATCGTGATGAATTCTTCCTAAAAATGACTTTTTACTGAAAACTGATACACTCTTAATTTGATTTTCGAACAAAATGCTGTTCAGCACACTTAATCCCGACAGTTTGGTTGAAATAAGTTATAATTTGTTGCTCGTGAGCTAATGCAATGTAAACAAATTCAATCGTAATTTGTAAGTGATATTTCACTGAATACAGGCACACAATAGGTTTTTCCTAGGCTAAATTATAACAGACCAACGTTTCTTGAAAGTTGTTACAGTTAATTCACAAGCTTATCAAAAGTATGGGCCTTGTACAACCCCTTCATCTAAACTGAAGATTTTACCAAATCAATGACTTTTTGCTCATTTTGCGCACAGTTGAAGTAGTCCGACCAAAATCTAAATAATTTTTGAATAATTCTGAGACACATTCTGAATATTAAATAGAAAAGTCGCAAAATTCAGTTCTTTATGGGCTTTTTAAACATTATGGCCTTTTTAAACATTATGAAATAAACAGGTTGTCGGTTCTTATATTTTTTTAAATGGTAATTCTAACCTGATTGACGCCATGAGAATCCCTTAGAATGACACCAATTTGAGAGGGAGTCAGACCTTTCTTGGACAATTTGTAGATCGTGTCTTTCACCTCATCGGCTGTCAGTTTCTGCCACTGTAACAAAAATCTTACCAGATTGAGTTTATTATTCCTACAAGCGATGATATCACAAAACCATGATAACACACCTCTTGCACAGAAAATAAGTAACAAAGTTTACCGAGCAGAAAAGTATCTCACCACAGCAGGATCAGCTCACGACCTCGCAATAACGAAGGGGAGATAACTGAAAATACTGGAGGACGAGCAGAGAGCACGCTCTCAAATGGCTGCCCGAGACAACCACGCTCACCAAGGGAACAAAGCAAAGGAGAGTGTGAGGAGTGATAGCGAGACATGAATACTGGCATTTACTTGGTAGTCTCTTTTAAGTTTGCTGTGGGAGCACAGCCCCCATTTCTCATATCTAAGAAACAGGTGAATGTTTCACTTCAGATAAAATTTGTTCTTCAATCCAGAGCTATTTATCTCTTTATCGGAGTTTGAAGACATGATAGTACACCAGAGACAAAAATTGTTTCAGTTTTTCAAAGTTGCTACCAGTGGTGCACAGTATTCATTTTACCTTCAAATGCTATCAAACATCACAATATTCACTCCTAAACTCCGAACTTTGGGTTCCTCATTGAAAGTTAGAACAAGGTTTTAAGAAATGTAAATAAATAGTATCAGGGAGCACTGAAGTGCACTGAGACACCACTAACCGTGGGGACACTGCGCTTGTAAGGGAGTGCAGACTGGGCTATACCCTTCCCGGGGGTGTGCATACGGACCATGATTAGATCGGTCTTAGCTACTGGTAATACTGGGTCAAAATCATTGTGGCAATGTTGGGGTTATTTTCCACGCAAATCTTACGAAGTTATGAAAATTTAAAGGGAAATTGAACAGATTTAGGAGTACGAGAAGTGCTTTTCAACACGGAAAAGATTCAATAACTAAGCATAGAGTAAAAGATCATTTAGATAATTTAGGTTTCATCAGATATTTATGCTACAAGGGCTGAGGCGGTGGCACTTTCGTATCTCCAGTTGGGTGGGAGGACTGATTTAGTTTTGTAGTATCTGGCCAGTTTGTGAACTCGGCTTTCGATCAGAATCAGTCTGTACTTGGAGTCTTTGTCTTGTCTGTTCTTCTCCAGATGTTTCCTGATAGCCACTGCTTTCTTGATCAGATGGTACAGATCCTCTGGGATCTTGCTGGCCAAACCCTTCGCTCTCAGGATTCTCAGAATCTTCGTTCCGGTTAAATGTTTGATCTGAATTGGATTATAATAAAGTAGATATTTGACAGACACTGTTCCTAAGTATTATATTGCCGATAAAGTGGAACTATTTTAAAAATTGAAACATGAAACATCAGATAATTTATACGTTTTGCTTCAACCGAGGGAGGAATAATTTGGGATTGAGAAATCACGATAGAAATTCTAACCTGGTTGACACCATGAGAATCCCTGAGGATGACACCAATTTGAGAGGGAGTCAGACCTTTCTTGGACAGTTTGTAGATCGTGTCTTTCACCTCGTCGGCTGTCAGTTTCTGCCAGGTAGGAACACTACGTTTGTAGGGGAGGGCTGACTGAGCAATACCCTTTCTGAAAGTAAGGAACACTTATTTGTAGAAATACAACCGATGAGACGATCAAGAACGAGTAACCGGTATGAGGTCGAAATAAACTAACAGCAAGTCTTAGCTTAGAGATAAATTATTAAGATTCTTTATAAAAACAAGTGCAACTTACCCGGGCGTGTGCATACGAACCATGGTGTCGGACTTGACTTAGCTATAAAATATGAATGGTTAGTCCGTTGGTATTGTTTTTCTGTTTCGTGTTAAATTGAATCGAATAAACCAGAGCTAAAGTTTGAAAATGTGAACCCGAACACGCAGAGATAAAATGCGCGCGCCGCGGGCTAAAATTTTTCTGAGCGCTTACAGCGCAGTCAACCCAGGAGGAAAATATAAGAAAACTAGCAATAGGAAATCCGCGAAATTGCAATTTTCTGTGTCGTGCGTCATTTGCTCCACCAAATGCGAAGTGAATAGGATCAAATTTTCAGCACGGCGGGACAAATAGCCTTAATTCGTATACCGGCAGAATAAAATGAACCTTCAGAAGCTACCGTCGATCGCTCAAATTACAACTGTCAAGTGTCAGGCGTATTTCTGATACTATGCAATAAATTTTAACCTGATCGACACTTTGAGTCAATAGTGGGGCGTATTTCTACTATGCATAAATCAAAACAAAACTGAGCTATAATTTGTTTATTGGGTTTTATTTTATCAACTCATACCAAATTGATCAACTTACAGACAATCAAATATTTACAATTCAAAGCTGAATAGAACAAATATAGTGTTACACCTCTTTTATAACAAAGAAAATCTGAGGGTATTTAAACTCAAGTAGAAAAAGCATCATCGACATTAATTAATAAAATCGTCTATGTCACATTCTGGTGTAACTTCTGTTTTGGGTCACGATAATAGATTCTGAAAGTTGGTATCCACGACTCCCAGATCAAAATCAGATAAGTAAAATCGTCTTACACATTCAAAATGTTGTCCTCACTCATTTATATAAAAGTCACAGTAGAAAAGAAGCTAACTCGAAAACGATTTAAACTTTTTAATACTTTTAAATATTGTTTAATTGATATCAATTAAGTTAAGTTCAGAACATACTGTACTCATGTTAATGATTATTCTGACTTCTTGACAACAAGTGGTCCCAAGTTGTCTCCAGTACGAGCATTGTGTGCGTTGTGAGCACCGTCGCAGAGTGGAAACTGAAACAATAAATTACTAAGCTTTCTGCTTTACATAAAACACTAAGTTACTAAACTTTATCTGAACCAAAAAGTAACTAAACTTTACATAGAATACAAACTTACTAATGTTAAGAGTGAACAGAAACTAAGATTATATTTGGTAGAATTATATTGTGTTTAAAACAGAAACAGAATGTTTGTCAGCTAAATAAGTAGAATAGAAAGTTAACTGAAACATATAATAATATTGCTAGCCTGAAACATAATATTGCTAGGCTTAACTTAAATAGAAATGTACTAGAGCTAAAGGTTTCACTAAAACAAAAAGTAACTTGTATTGGGCTAAATTTAAACATAAAATTAATAAGGTTAAACTAAAAGATAACTGATAAGGTTCCATATTGAAACGAAAATGGTACAAAGCATTCGAGCATTATGATGTTTCTCCAGTTTACATCCAGAAACAAACTATAAAAACAAATTCCTAACCTTCTTTGATTGCCAGCACCTGCAGTAACAAGTCTTTGCACCCAAGTCTTCCATATCGACAACGTCTACAACCTGCAAATGATATGACAATTAGAAATTATTCATGTTGTACAAGAACAGTACCGAGATCACCAAGATTGTTGGGAAATGTTTTAATTTCTTGCAGGGGTTTAATAACATGTCCACATCTTTTTTAATATATGACCGATCCCTTTGAGCAATTAATAGCACCCCATGTATTAATTACCAAAATGGGACAAACATGTGAACTGTGAAGTACAATACTTTCGGCTAAACCTAATGCTGATTTTTCTGGGGTCACGTTCTGCCAGCATCCTAGACTTGTTTGAGAACAGATGGGCCCACAACAACTGCCACATACATACCAGGAAGGAAAAATCCTTAGTTCAACTCTTAAAATTTCTAGAGTTGTGCTATCAGTTGTCAACCTCCAAATTCAAGTTAATTCAACCTACACGATTTAAGAAGTTTTATGCTAAAACAGGACACTGCACACTTAGCAGAATGCAGATGGAGAAACTGCAACATCAAGCATATACACCGAGTATATACTATATAAGTGGACAGGCTTCACGTTTTCAAGCAGTAGTTATTAAAAACCAGACTTTAAGATGAGTCCTTTTGAGAAGGAGCATAATTGGCCTATGGTCTGGGACGAGGATAACAGCACTGTTCCCCAGCACATCTTTGGCACGGCGGGGAGTTTGGGAGAAAGGAAAAAGCCACGGTAAATCAATACAATACAAGGTTTGCGGTAAATCGGGGTTATGATTGTTTACATTAGGTATGTTAAACCCTATTTAGCAGAAAGAAATTGGCACTGCACGGTAAATCGGGGTTTGCAGTAAATGGGGGCACGGTGAATCGGGGTTTTAGTATACTTTGGTGTGACTAAAAAAAACAGTGCTCCATGAGGTGGGTTTGGTTGCTCTCAATGCAAGTGTTCTTGTGCAATCTGGTTAGCAAGAGAAAACAAGAAGTGGAGTTGCTACAACATCGCACAAAGACCCACGGTTCTACCATCAACTGAGTGAGCCCTTAAAAGATGTTTAAAGCCTCACCTGTACCTTGGATCTTAAGTGCCAGGATCAGAGATGGAAGCTAAGCAGATGTATAGACGGAGTTGCTATCGAAAGATATAGAACTCAGGTATCCAACATCGTACCTTTGACTCCTTTGTAGTATTTTCTCATATTATACGCAATAAAAAAGCTAGCATTACACTAGTAAACAGGTTTTTTTAAAATCAAATAATGGAACTAATACCTTGTCGCAGTCTTTCTTGATTGTTGTGTTACAACATTGTTTACCAGAAGATCTTGTGCTCCATATATATCCAACAGCGACACCAAAGATAGTAGAAGCTAGACATACTCCAGCAGCTGTTAGATCAAGCTTACCCAATAGATCAGACATCCTGAACAATTTCTGTAATTAATAACCATGTTACTGATGTGCTAAATAAGTATCATACAGACTACAATATACATGGCTAGATTTGAAATAAAATTGTAACATTATCACCAAATAAAATTAGAAGTTTACTAATTATAAAATATAATTTCAAACAGAAAACATTGAAAGCACTTTTCCTACAACGTTAGAAAATCGTAAATCGATATTGCTTACAATACAATGTAGTTGTACTGTAGAATGAAGTTGTACTGAAGGAAGTTCAAGAGCATGATTCATGGATATCGATATATAATGTTCAAGCTTTGTGGCCGCTAGGAATCAGTAGAACAAACACTCTCAGCCTTCCTGCCCTAATTTTGCACAATCAAGCATAAACCTACATTTTTTGTTTGTTTTGTTGCAGGCTTTGATGCCCCTCTATGATACAGTTCCCAGACCATGGTTGTCATATAGGACAATGAGATACCGTATGTGACCAAGCAGCTTATGGACAGATGGTCACCTTCTCTTTTAACAACCTGCTCTTAAAGTCTTAAAGCCACTGCTATTCTGACAATGATCTTTCTCAGTTTTTCCCTGATTCTCTCTGGAACTTACTCGAAGGGAGCCTCCCCGGTCTCCTTATCATGAGACACCTTATCATACAACAATCTTCGACATACATTGCCACTCGTTGTTCCTCCCTTTCCAGCAGATTCAGGAATAACTACCCCGAGACCTGTCCTTTCCTTCAAATGCTGCTGAACATCAGATTTTGCTTGTTTGATAAAAGCCAGGTCTCTCGACTCTCATGTTGGTAGACTCTGACCAGTGATTAAGTAAAACAAAATTTTAAGTAAAACAAAATTTAAATTTTATTGCCATTACAATGAATAATGATATCATAATAAATATAAGTAGACATCCGATAATAAACTTGTTAGGTCCAGTACAACCCAAGATGTCGGCCGACTAACAAAATAAAGAAATCTAGCATGTTCATAGTTTTTCTAACGAGCATACTTAGGCTGTACGGAAATAATAATAATAATAATAGGATTATGGCCACATAGCCATCTCGACAAAACTTGAAACCCAACTGCACTCTACGCTATTGCAGTTCGCACAATATTTTCAAAAAGAAAAATGTTCCTATCCGGAACATGTAATGATTAATTATTTTAAGGACGTTAACATGTAGTTCTGAATTTAACAATCAAGATACATTGATTCCTCGGTATTTAGCAATCAATGGGTTATTAGACATGAAATATGCATATGAATCATGCTCACATGTATTTATTTTTGACATCAAGGTTTCGCTGAGATCCCAGAAGTGACCCTTTGACGATGCTCCACTCGCTATCAGTTCATTTTTATAACATTGAAGTCGAGCTTTGAATGCGTCTACTGAACTGGCTTCTTTAACCGAACTTGGTACTTTGTTCCAGTAATTGGCAACCCGGTTACTGAGGACCTGATTTCCTCTTTTATCTTTTAGGATCTTGGTACCACTACGTGATATCCTGAAAAGATCTTGTCCATAGTCCACTTTACCCGTCGTTATTTTAAAGGTTTCAATAAGATCACCCCTCATACGGCGCTCCAGTGCTTTAAATAGCTTTAATTCTACGTCATATTAAAAACTTTACATCATTTTTAAGATACAAAAATAAATTTTAAAATAAATAACACTTAGTAAAACAAAGTATTTTAGTAAAACAAAGTATTTGATTGAAATAAATAAATTTTCGTGCACTGTATACAGAATGAATGGTTAATAATTTAATATATATGTAGACCAAGCTTAGCTCTGTGCACGGGATGCTTCCTGGAAGAATCCAGTTCTTTTAGCGGGGCACCCTACCTAAAGCCAAATTGAGATATAATAATCATATTCCTAGGGAAATAATCAGAAATCGAATACCAATCAAATAATATGATATATAGGAGTAGTAACCATATTTACTATGCAAAATGCCCCAACCACATAGTGTAAATTTATATAGAATTCAAATTCCATATCATCATTAAACCTCAATAGTCAATATAATAGCCCAAGCAAAATTAAATAACTTCTTATATACCTTACTGTCATACTACAAATTAATTAAACATTTGAAATCTGTTAACCAGAGAATAAATTTCTAAACCTAATGCAAGTGAAATAATTTAGATGCAATAATGAATGCCTAATGTGAGTATCATCTGTCTATTATATTTATTAGCAGTGCAATCAATTCATATGATATAATCATAAGAATATAATAGTATGTCACACCTATTTAACTGTTACGTTTGAGTAGTCGTGCCATGGCTAAATCTAACTAGGACCAGTGGTGTCGATTAACATTTAATAGGTGAGTCTAGGTGACACAAATGGAAAATTTTAAGAAAAGACGGATCAAAACACAGATCCAGGGCAAGGAGACCCCACTGCAGGACCATACATGCTATTGGCTTGTGCATGGCCCAAAAGGTTCCAGTCGTCCAGGAAACTGTACGTAACTGGTCAACTAGTTTTGAATTCAGACTAGGCTTGATGAGTTCTGGGGTTTCTAGAGGTAAGATATAGGTATGTAAAATCATATCAATATAGAAATAGATCCAAAAATAGATCCAGCAAACTTTTGCTGCTTAGGCGCGGCACGCGCTTGACCCACATGCTATACAGCGTGTAGCAACACAGCACCGAAAACGAAGAAGCTATAAGCGGTGCGCCGCGCCTAAACCTTAAACCATAAACTCTAAATAATGTCAGATCAAGATAAACAAGTTTTGCGAGATAATTTAGCATGCTGACTTCATAGGATATTACAATTATACCCGTGCCAGTTCAAATGTGAGTCAGCGCTTAAACCAAAAGCAGTTGGCAAAAGGAGCCAGTTGCCTGCAAGAGCTTAACTAGCACCTGATTTACCACTTTTGGAGCACAAACTCAAACCTAAAACCTGTTAGACTTAGCAGAATACTAATCATTATATATTCATAGTATGAGAACCGGTTGAAGTTTGTAGAAAGAAGATTAAGTTTGTAGAAAGAAGATTTATGTTATTGTAGAGTATCAACCGGTACGTATTCCTTTAAACTATATATTTACAATGATCTATATACTATTATATATTTACAATGGATAATTGGAACTTGATATAACTATTTGAGTTTATATTATTGGTGTAATAAATCCTATTTATTACAGGTTCTGTTTCTATTTCAAACCCAGCGAGTTTCTCTTGTAAACAACTCAAGTCCTGTGAACACATATTAACAGTGGTAGCAGTTCAGTTAACTTGTGAGAGACGACAGATCCACCGAAGAAGAACCAGAGGAAAGGAGAGAAAAGGTAATTGGAAGAAATTGTTATAGACTGTTCAGTTAATTTAAAGAAGAAAGAGACTAACTAGAAAGTATTGAACTGATTCAAGTGTTGAAAGTAATTAAAACTCAGTGTTAGTTAGTTATAGTCAGTGTACATTTGTTTGTGTCAGTGTACAGTCTAATAGTTTTGTGTTTGTAGTAATTGTCACATTCATTCACATTATGAGCGAGAAGATACCGAATTTAGAGGATGACAGCGACTACAGCCGTTGGAAGAAAGCAGTCAAAGTGTGGCAGTTGGGAACAACAGCAAAGAAAACTCAACAAGCCAGCCGTCTGATTGGATTCATGAATGGAAGAGCGTATGAAGCAGCACTACAAATAGCACCAGCAGAGTTAGGAGTTGAAACCGGAGTTGATAAGCTGATAACAGAGCTGGATTCTCTGTTTCTAAAAGACGCCACACACGATCTGTTCATGGCAATTGAAGATTTCGAGCACTATAAGAGACCAGAAGGTGTAGCAATGGACCTGTATGTGCGAGACTTTGAACAGAAAAGAAAGAAGATAGACCAACTGAGGGAAAAAGAAGTGTACGAGGATGGGGTGTTAGCGTATAAACTCCTCAATCAAGCAAACCTTAACCCGGACCAGAAACGGCTTGTAAAAGCAACAATAACGAAGCTAGACTATAAAATGATGGTCCAATCGTTGAAGCAGACATTTGGAGATGAAGTACCATTTGAAAGTCCTACCCGGATAGAAACTGTTATTAAGGAAGAACAAGGCATCATGTTTACAGATCAAAGAAGTAGACAAAGCAGCAGTGCCAGTGGAGAAACTGCAGAAAGTGAAGATGAGGGTGTTCTTTACAATACCGGAAGGTTCAGGGGGAAAGGAAAGTTCAGAAAGTATGGTAATGGCAATGATAACCGAACAAAGCAAACCAACCAAAACTACCAGGGTTGTTATATTTGCAAAAATCCAAACCATCGTGTAGCAAACTGCCCTCATAATACTTACAAGACTGAAGGTCAAAGAAATACTTATAAGACAGAAGGTCAAAGACAAAGGTATACATACCTGGCTGATATGACGAGAGAAGTAGTTCTACCTGAAAGAGACGAACAGTATACATACTTCATAGGAGAAACTGTAAACAAAGGTTTACTAGACACAGGTGCGTCTGCAACGGTATGTGGAAAAAAGTGGCTAGAAGTCTACACAGAGTCACTCACAGGGGAAGAAGCGAGGAAGTTAAAGACAAAGAACAGTAAAGCAACATTTCGCTTTGGAGATGGTGAAAGCGTGGTGGCTAGAAAGCTTGTAACTTTACCTGTGAAAATGTTTGGTAAGAACATAGTGATTAGAACACATGTTGTCGACACAGACATTCCGTTACTGCTGTCAAAACAAACCATGAATGAACACAGGTTTGTCATCGATGTAGGAAATAAGAAAGTGTATGCTCATGGCGGAGAAGAACCAATCCTTGACACAGCTTCAGGACACATGGGGATGTCAATCGGGAGAGGAGAGGATTCTAGAGTTGTACCGCCACATGATCAGGAAATGACAGTGAATAAAATGAGAGCTGGAGGAAAAGACCCTTATGATAAAGATGAGGAAGACACTGACAAGGACACTAAAGAAGAACTGACAAAGACTCGTAGCACGCGTGCTGGCGGGATTGCAGTTGATAAAGAACCCCGCACAAA